GTAAAAATTATATATATACATATATATATATACACACATTATGTTCCAAGTGAGATTATCTTCAGAAATATATAAATGGTTCTTTATTAGGACACCTTGCAATATAATTTATTCTAGTAATATACAGCCTTCTCACTTTCAGATTAGACATTTTATTTTTCCAAATGTTGATCCCCACATCCACCTAACCTATTTGACAAGCAGGATATTGTAGTAGACTCTACGGATTACCTCAAGCACACGTTTATGGAGGGAAGCCGCTGCCTGTGTGAAGAACTGGAAGGAGCAGAAAGCAGACCAATGCTCCTAACCAGACAAGAACCTCCAGGTGAGCCCATCTGTTTACTCCCAAACCACGCAAAAGGGAACCAGCTTGAGGGGGTGAAAGTCCACGTGAAGTGAGTAGTTCACGCTTTCCAGAGTTATGAATAGTCCTTCCATGTACGATCCATAGATTAACCCTTCGCTCTTGGCAATGTTTCCAGGAAACAAGACTGCGATGAAAGACGCTTCAAAGTGTCACGTTCTTTTCCCATGCCTTTGCTTATTTGTCTTAATTTAGGATACTGGGGAGTTTATTCCTGCAGTGACTTTGAGCTCCAATTGTCAATAGCTGTCAACCAGGAGTCAGTTCTCCATGACTGCCACCTTAAAGGGTTAGTCTTTAACCACACATCTGAAGGGTTCGATCTAAGCGCCCACCACTCCATTTTACAAGTCTATGTAGCCACCAGTCCACCCTATTTAGCCCCCAGTATCTCACAGGTTTTTGCTACTGTAATACTACATAACAGACAAGCCCAGAGTCCTCTGGACTTCGGTAATTGTTTATTCCACTCTCAGATCTGTAGGGAAGGTGCAGCCTACCTGATATCATCTGTGCGTGTTGAGTCTGGTTTCGCGTCTTAATTTTGTGCCGGGTTCATTCTGACTGCAGGTTTCATTGCAGTTCTCAGTTTGAAGGTGTAATATAGGACATTCTTTTCGCATGACTGAGGTCTGAAGGGCCAAGTGGGTTGACAAAACTTCTCATAAATATTAAGGTCGTAATAAAAAACAGGCTCACTTTAATTTTTGCTCACATTCTTTTGCCTTAAAAATAACAGGATTAAGCCCAAGGACAAAGGGAAGGGAAGGCACAGCATGGGCAGGAAAGGAAGAGAGCTGCAGGAGCAAATGTATATAGGGGTGTATTATAATGTATCCCACCCCTGAATGTCTTCACATATAGGTACCACAAGGCACAACGTGAGGAAATACTTTTAAATCAATTAGGATCCACCTTGTGAACATAGGGAATTTATACAGATAAAATATGAGAGGTGTCACTGAGGACCAACACTAAATCCAACCTGAGAGTCAGACATGGTTGCCCACATGTGACCTAGTTACCAATGGATTCAGTCAAGAAGCCTTCTGGGAAATAAGTTATCTACGGAAAAGATGAACGAGGCCTGGTGAGCTAAGTCTAGTTACAGCATCATAATTATTAGGTGAGAGAAATTATTTTGAGTGCAATGTGTTCTCTGTGACTCAGATGTGGCTCCTGGAGCCATTCGACAGGACTCACTGTAAGCATCCCTCCCCAGCTACACCCCTAGCCATTAGGCAAGTCTGGAAGCTTGAACTCACTGTGGCCGGCCAGTGCTTGTGGAGTAGTGACAGCCCTCAGCAAGAGGCCGGAGAAATGCTGCGGCACCTGTCAGGGGTGGACCAGTCACGAATACATGTCAACACCCAAAATCATTAGGAGGAGGCGATTTTATCGAGGACTGAGAGGTAGTCCCATTTGTAACCACAGGCTGGTGACCTAAGGTGGCATTTTGGAAATCCATTTGGAGTTATTGTAAATCTAAATATGCGTATCTGTCTGTGCATGGCTGGCTATCTCTAGACTTAGATCTCTACGACATGTGATACCAGGGCAGTGGCACTGTGACGAGATGGGGGAAGCAGATACAGAGCTTGACTTGGGATCCACTACTGGACTATGATCAGCCAGTTAGACCCTAGCATGCTGGAGTCCTTAGAAGAATGATCAATCAATAGAAAAGTGGGTGAAGGGAGACATCAGTCAGTGTAAGACTTGAAAAAATAATAATAAATGTATACGTTATCAAGGGCTTGTGAGGGAGGGAGGGTGAGGGAGAGAAGGGGGGGATGAGGAGCTGATACCAAGGGCTCAAGTAGAAAGAAAATATTTTGAAAATGATGATGGCAACATCTGTTCAAATGTGCTTGACACAATGGATGGATGGATGGATGGATGGGTTGTGATAAAAGCTGTACGAGTCCCCAGTAAAATTATTTTTAAAAACAAAAGAAGAAGATGAAGAAGGGTCAAGAAATAAAGGGTGTGAATTCACTCTTGCACTCGAAAATCACTTTCGAATGTTTGCCCTGATGCAGGAGCTGGAGTCGATGAGGGGAAGTGAGTGATTCATATTCGTTTTCTCAGGATGTTGATTTCCCTAGTGTCTCTGGGTAATTTGGGGAATAAGAAATATTTAGAGCATTCTGTTGGATCAGCTTTCTTTGGAATGGACACAAATATGGATCGCTTCCAGTCAATTGGCCAAGTAGTTGACTTACACATTTCCTGGCAGCGGTGAGTGAGTGCCCCCAGTGTTGCATCAGCTTGTTGAAACATTTTAATGGCTCTTCCATCAATTCCTGGAGCCTTGGTTTTGGCCAAGGCATTGAGTGCAGCTAGAACTTCTTCCTTCAGCACCATCGGTTCTTGCTCATGTGCTACGTCCTGACGTGGGGGGCTGTCGACCAGCTCTTTTTGGTACAGTGATGCTGAGTATTTGTTCCATCTTCTCCTGATTGTTCCTGCATGATGACAGTACACACACACACAGCCCGATGGGCAATTCTACTCTGACATGTAAGGTCATTATGAGTTGTAATCGACTCAAGGGCATACAAAAACATGGTGACCACATTACAAAGTCCTACCTTCGGGCACCAGATAAAGTTGAAAGCCTCCGCTGCCACTCTTCCCTCCGCACATCCAGGGTGTAGGAGCAAAGCTCTCGTGGGCAGCCCTTCGGTGTCACAGCGCCCTCTGCTGGCTGTGGGTAAAGCCAGCCTGACAGTGGCTGACAGGAGAGGACACAAGTCAGTAAGGTGCCCTACCTGCGGTCACAAAGTGGTGTCTGGATTCCCAGGTGGCCAACCCCTCTCCATAGCAGAAACCTGAATTGGTGATGAACTCAACATTTGAAGAATAGGGTCCATAGTGAGTGAGGAAGCTGAGCAGAGTTGGCTCATAAAGGGTGACCGGGTCTTCCGGAGGTTGGGCTTCATCTGGAAGTGGTGCTGAGCCACGGAAGGATTTTAGTCAGGGGGGTGGTGTGATTCGGTCTGTGTTTGAGGAGGCTTTCTGGGCCAAGGTGATGTGGAAAGTCTGGCTCCGGGATTGGCTTCGGGTGGACAGGAAGGTCCAGGGTGGGCCAGGGATTCAGGCGATAGCCGATGACCTTGAAGCTCAAGTGGGCGGGCCAGACAGGTTGGGCTGCCTTGCACCCTGTGTTAGCCTTTATCCACTTGCTCCATCAAATCCACTGGCATGAGTCTCCACCTGCTCAGTGCCTGTGAAGCCTGACCTCATGGGATGTCTTAACAAGCAACGGGAAAACAGGAAAAAAATGAATTTACAAGAAAATATCAGAGCTCAAGAAACAGACTCTCATGAAATGCCATGGGCTGTTTCCGCGGTCTGGTCTCTCACTGTTCTTTGAATGGAGCCAGGTGAAGAAAGCGCAGGGGAAGAGAGGAGAGTTTGGTCACAGTAGTCTTACTATAAGTTAGCAGTACCTCCGTAAGTGAGCAGTGCCTGCCCTCCTCGGCCGCAGACTGCGGCTCCGGCTGGAAGGCCCTCGGCAACGCCAAGATTCCCGGCACTGTCCTGATTCTTCGGCTCTTTGCATCAAGAGGCCGGTCGTGGCAGCCGCCAGGCCTCCCTTGTTGCAAACCTTAGTGTTACAGCCTTGGGACATATTGTCGGGAGAGACCAGTCCCTGGAGAAGAGTACCATGCTTGACAAAGGAAAGGGGCAGCAAACAGAGGAAGACCCTCTACTAGATGGTCGGACGCAGTGGCTGCATCAACGGGCTCAGGCATCAGAGCGATGATGAGGTGGCGCTGGGCAGGGCAGCGTTGCGTTCTGCTGTGCATAGGGTTGCGAAGGGTCAGAACCGACGCCATGGCTCTGAACAACGACGGTCTTCACTGAAGAAGATCACTTAACCACTGTGCCACTATCGAACTGGGATTTTCAAACTTTGTTTCCCCGCGACTTGCCGTGTGAAATGATGTAACTTTGCAGCCCAATTCTCAGTCGCCTATTTATCAGTGACTTTCAATACTTACAAGCTGCTAAGTCTGATGGTCGATAGAATTGCATAGTGATTTTTTCCAACATGAAATAATGACTGAATAAAAGTAAAGTTTAACTAATTAACTGAAGTAGGCCTTTGTATCTTCAGAAAATTCATTGTTTAAATAGTTTTGCTTACAAAAACATCACAATTAACTGCTAAAGGTAAAGACACCTCCCAATGACAGAATAACTCACTTTACCTGCCTGTGTTTACTACTTTGAGATCCATGGGGTAAGAAGAAAAGGTTCTCATGTCAAGTGATGCTACTCGGGTTATTAAATGAACATTTTCCTTGAAAAGGGGTTAAAATATGTAAATACCTGCGGACAGTTCCTAACAATCGTTGGAAACCCCAAAGAGAAATAAGGAATAAGAAGTACTGGAGACAAAGCCATCAGTAAGTTTTAAAAATGCCTTAAGACACATCTCGCATTCTTGTTGTAATCTGAGTGTCATGAAAGTTGAGGTTTGTGAAAAACACAAGTTGATTGCATACTAAAAGGAAATAAGACCCATCGACAATGAGCAGTTTTCATGAGTTTTTTAATTAGAGGAGACAGATTTAAAAGGGATTGGATGGGTTCGTCTCCTATCCACCGACCTCATTAGGGTTCATGTCCATTGGCTTAACTTTGCAAAGGAAAACTCCGTATGATTGTTCTTTCCAGGGGTTTTCGTCATGCCAACAGGTGCGTCAGAACTGGAGGAGGTGCAGAGGAACCATTTGGAGTGGGCAGCTGACTCCAAAGTGTACCGGGAGCCCACCTTCCTCTTGTAGAAGATGAAAGATGTAAGTGACGGTTCCTTCTGGGCTGTCAGGTCTTTGCATGGGTTCTTCTCTGACGTAAAAGAAAGGAACGAAATGAAGAAGTGCAAGCTTGAGAAGGAGAAACCCCAGCAGATCCGTGTGGTCCCTGAGCAGCCGGAGTTGCCAATGGCGGTGTTGATATGTTGAAGGACAATAAGTAGTCACGACTCCTCTATGGCCTCCTCTCCCCTTCTCCAGAACTAAAGCAATCAAACAATACAGGCAGACGGTAGATGCACCCCACAAGGTCAGTACTACAGATAAAGATGAGGCTTTCTACTGCTATAAAGAGTTACTGTCCCAGACACCCACATGAGCCCGTTCTAGTGCATCCTGTAGGGGTTGCCAGGAGTCACAATTGACTTTGCAGCAGTGAGTTTAAGGGAGTCAGTGCGACCGTGTTAAAAGGCCAGAGAAAAGTTTTAGATTAGAGAATATGGTTTTGATCTGCAGCCAGGGTTGGGCTTTCCACTCTATTTCCCAAGTGAAAAGAAAGCCCACCTTCCGACGAAGTCTGCAGCACAGACACACTGGTGCCTCACACCTGCCAGCCCTCTAATGGGCGTGTTTTGAGCACTGATGCAGATGTGCTGCCAGTCGTATAGATAGTCAAGTCGAAAGTGGAGACTATAGCCACATGCAGGCCAGGGAGACTAGAGCGAAGAGGGGAGGATTAGGTGTGCACGCGCAGTTCTCTCTGTTGGCTGAACACTTTGTCGCGCTCCTGCTCCTTGCCTGGAAAGGAGCGTGAAGTCAACGGGAAGGAGGAAAACTGTCCTGCCCACTGTTTCCTGGGACGGACTTTTCTGTAAGTTTCTACAATGCTCTTAAGTCGGATGGAGTGTTAGTCAATAGTATGCTTACACACACACACACACACACACACACACACACACACACACACGAAGTCAAAAGGTATGTATTGCTACAGCACCATAGAAACCTTCAATAAGTGAAAATATCAAAAGGTAAAGCTGTCGCTTCTCTAAACATAACACTCTGTTTAGATCTGTACTTCACAACGTGACAGCTCTCTCCTGGTGCCCGGGAACCAGAATGAGATGCCCTTTATCACCAAGACTAGTCAGTACTGTACTGGAAGTCTTGGCCAGAGCCATAAGTAAAGAAAGCAAAATAAGAGGCATCCAAATTGGCAGCAAAAAATGTCTCTCCTTTCAGATAATATGATTGTATACTTAGGAAATCCCAAAGACTCTGCAAGAAAATCCCTGGAACTTATTGAAAGATTGAGCAAAGTGGCAAGTGACAAAATCAACATAGAAACATTAGATTTCTTTACACTAACAGAAAGCTCTGGAAGGGAATCAGAAAAGCAATATTATTTATGTAACCACCCAGAATGTGGTTCACCAAAAGGTGAAATTCTTCGGAAAAAATAAAAGTAAAGAAACAAACAACAACTCTATGTGAAGAAGACTACAAAACACTACAACAAGGAACCAAAGCAACCTACACAAGTGGAAGACTGTACTATGATCATGGATAGGAAGACTTAGCATTGTGAAAATATCAATAATATACAAAGCAATCTACAGATAAAATGCCATTGTAATCCAGATTCCAACATCATTCTTTAAAGAGATGGACAAATTTAGAGGGTAGGTAGGTGAAAGGGCAGATAGTGCTTTACAAGAGAAAGAAGAAAAAAATGAAGGGCAGGGAAGTTTGAAGAGTATTGTACGTTGTTTAATTTTTAGAAATGTAAACTCTCACCTAATTCACAATAAAAACTTGAAATAATAATAATAATACTAGAGTTGGGAAAACTAATCATGTGGAAAAGAAAGTGGCCCCAAATAAGCAAAGCACTACTAAAGAAGAACAAAGTAGGAGGCCTCACACTTCCTAATCTCAAAACCTGCTATTCAACCCCATCGTCAAAACAACCAGTGACAAGTGCAGACGCATAGAACAAAGGAACAGAAGAGAGAACTCAGCATCAGATCTGTCCACCTCTGGACAGCTGATCTTTCACCAAGAGCTGAAACCCATTAGGTGGAGAGGACATCACCTCTTTTAACAAATGGTGCTGAAAAACGGGATATCCATTTGCTGATGAGTGAGCCAGGAACTCATATTTCACACCGGGTACAAAAACAAACTCAGGATAAATCAAGGACCTAAATGTAAAACCTAAAACGATGAAGATCATCACAGCAAAAAGAGGGACAAGTGTGCGTTGTTGCTGTTGTGGTGGTGCGTTGCCAAGTTGGTCCCAACCATAGCGACCATGTGTTCAACAGAACAAATCACCACCCGGTCCAGCACCATCCTCACCACTGTTCTCTTGTTTGATCCCATGGTTGTGGCCACTTCCATCTTGTCCAGTGCCTTCCTCTTTTTTGCTGCCCCTCTGTTTTACTGTAATGTGTAATGTCCTCTTCCAGGGTTGGATTTCTCCTGACATCACGTCCAAAGGATGGGGACAAGCGTAGGGGCCCTAATATATGGCAAAAATTCACTATCAAGTATAATCAAAAAGACATGAATGAGCTAGATGACTCCGTTGTTGCTGTTGTTGTTGTTGTTGTTGTTGTTAGATGTGGCCGAGTCCATTCGGACTCGTTGCGACTCTCTGTACAACAGAACAAAGTGCCACCTGGTCGCAGGCCAGCCTCCCACTGGGTGTCATATGTGAGCTTATTGCTGCAGCCCCTGTTTCAATTCACCTCACGTGGTCCACATCCCAGTTATTTATGGGTGTTTACGGCTGGCTCGTCTCATTTTCAGACATATTCCATCAGCAAATGGAGGTCCTAAGAGCTTTCCTCCATCGCCCGAATTCAAATAGACTCTGCTTTGGGAGCAGCACTTCTCTGGTCACATTTTGAGGCGTTTCCATCCTGAGGGGCTCATCTTCCAGCATGACACAAGGATCGAACAATGTCCGCTGCTCGTAAGGTTTTCAGTGGCAGATCCCTCAGAAATGGACAGCCTATTCCTTCTCTGTAGTCTGTTCTGAATCTGGAAAGAATGCTGAAATCTTACCGCCAGCAGGTTGACCCTGCTGGTATTCCAAATACAGGTGGCACAACTTCCAGCATGGCAACAACATGCAAGTCCCCACAGTACAACCAACTGACAGGCAAGTGGTGGAGATGACTGGATGGACGCTCCTAAAAATTAAACACTTTTGCATATCAAAAGAGTTCACCAAGCAAGTAGAAAGGGAACCCACAGTCTGTGGGGGAAAGTTTGGCAATGACATATCAGACAATGCAACAGTTTCTAAAAATCTGTAGGAAATTTTAACACAGAAGCAATAAAAAGTCAGACAATCCAACTTAAAAATGGACAGGGGAGATGAACAGACATTTCCGCAAAGAAGACATTCAGGAAGCCAACAAGCACAGGAAGAAATGTTCATTGTCCTTAGCAGCTCCAAAAAAACAAGCTCACGGTCATCAAGTCAAAGCTGACTCTTAGTGTCCACCCCCCACCCCATGTGTTTCTGAGACTGCAACTGTTGAAAGGAGTAGAACATCCACTCTTTCTCCTGCTGAACAGCTGGTGTCGAACTGCCGACCCTGCAGATCGCAGCCCAATGCGTACCCACTATGCCACCAGGGCTCCTTCATCCTAAGCCACTAGTGGGATGTAAATCTAAACAGTGAGATATCATTTCACTCCAGTATTAACAGCACAGTTGTTTGTTTGTTAACTTTAATAAGTCAAAAATAAGTGTTGATAAGGGTGTGGAGAGACTGGAACCTTCAGACACTGTGGATGGGTGTTTCCTTAACATTGGAAATAGAAATACATATGACCCATCAGTTCCACTACTAGATACATGCCCCAGAGAAATGAGCCATGGTATGAACAGATACATGCACTCCCAGGTGAAAACGACCTAAAGGCCATGGGGGGGGGGGTGTGTGGAATGGAAAAGCACACTGGTGCGTGCGCAGCAATCCTGACTGATGATGAGTCAGTGAAAGAGCTCACAACAGAGGCACATAAAAGATATTATGATGAGAGGACGAAGCCTAGCACAAATGGGTACATCTGGTGTGAGACTACCATTGCTAGATTTCTAGAAAAGATTTCTGCATACAGAGAAGCATCCTTAGGCTGCTCCCAGGGGTGGTGGGGAATAGAAGGGAGATCACTAACTAGAAGGTAGAGAGGTGCATGTTCACTGGGTGAAGGGGATGGGGGATAATAGATCATCAGAGGGAGGGCAGCAAAAATTGATGAAGGCAAAGAAAAAATTGGGGGAATAATGTTTTAAATATATAGCCAATCTTTGTGAAATAGCTCTGAGACATAAACCATAAACAACCTTTCTAATTTCTAACCTTGAAGATTCAACACTTGACTAATCTCTAACCTCGAGAGAGGATGCAACATATTAGTGTTTGATGGCATACTGGTACTCATCATCAGAGGCCAAGGTGAGAAATTTATATAGATAGATGGATACATAGAAGGAAGATAGATAGATGATAGATAGATAGATAGATAGATAGATAGATAGATAGATAGATAGATAGATAATAGATGATTGATAGATAGATGATAGATAGATAGATAGATAGATAGATAGATAGACAGACAGACAGATAGATAGATAGATAGATAATAGATGATAGATATAGATAAATAGATAGATAATAGATGATAGATAGATAGATAGATAATAGATAGATGATTGATAGATAGATGATAGATAGATAGATGGATAGATAGATAATAGATGATAGATAGATAGATAGATAGATAATAGATGATTGATAGATAGATAGATAGATAGATAGATAGATAGATAGATAGATAGATAGATCTACTGAATGGCTGTTACTTACAGGGGGTGGTGGGAGGGTGGCAGCGTACCACCCTCTCAACTCTGCTATCGTCGGCCTCTGCTCCCACAGGCCCGGCTGAGACCCTGCCTGCAGCCTCTGACCTCAGACTCTGGCTACCAGGAACTTCTGCAGGGTTCGAGGTGTGGCCAAGCCTTCCACCTGAAACCACTTCCTGCAGTCTGAAAATTTGGACTCCGCCATTGAACTAGCTTCGTAATGGTAAACTCTGATTCGCCAATTCTTAACGAAGTTCTGTGGGCTTACCATGGCTACCTTGCAATCAACTAAATGAGTGTAGGCATGACATGTCTATGGATACTGCTGTTCTATTGGCCAGCAGATGAATTGGGAAAGAGGGAGAGCCTTTGAGTGCCTTGGCCTCCCCTTCTGGGCAGGGCAGGGATGAAGGACAGTGGACTAAAAGGCTCACCTTCAGCTGTAGTGACGGTTGGCTTTGGTTGGCTTTGTCCGTTGTCCTTGTCACAGCAGAGCCAGAGTTCTCCTTCAGAGACTCCCAAGAAAATCAGACTTCCTTTCTCTTCACTGGCTGGTAGCAAGTGTGAGGCCAATACAAAGAAAGTCTCTAGAAAATGGGTTTGAAAAAAAGAGTCAGATCTCAGAGCAAAAGCAGTTCCACTGGGCACGCGGGGGCGCACCATGAGCCAGAATCACTTCCACACGGACTCGTTAGGATTTGGTGCCACGCTGGATGTTAGCGAGACAAGAGTAACCAAGTCAGCCGTGACTCCTGCTCACATGGCCCTCTCAGTCCAGAGAGAACCATGTTAGGCAAAGAAAGTGGTGAAGGGAGAAGTCCAAGAGCAAGGGACAGGCCTAGCAGGGCGGGCCACACACATGGCCCTCTAGTTCCAGGCCAAGGGCCATTCAGACAGGGAGCTCTGTCTCAATATTTTCATTTTATAAAAATATCTTTCATGGAGGTGTGATCTGGGCAGAAAAGAGCCGGGAGGGAAGGAGACCAATTAGCAGGCTGAGCAGTGAGCACTGAGCAGAGGCAGTGAGGAGCCCAGGGTCTGGGGAGAAGCAGGCACCCTCTTTAAGGAGATAGGCTCAAAACAGTTGGTAGAGGTGTCTCCAAGTCGTCAGCCCCAAGACAAAAGAGCAGGGTGGGAAAAAACAAGATGCCGATGGGGTTGACCAACCCCTGAGGGGTGTGGCACTTGAAGTAAAGATTGTAACACTCACTGCCAAGTGGATGATGACTCATCCAACATGTAAACCAATGCCAAGTGGAAAATGTGCAGCGACCATTTACATAGTGCTCACTATGTGAGTTTTCTTAGAACTAGAAGATCCCTGGTAGCGTAGTGTTTACTCCTTGGGCTGCTAACCTCAAGGTCAGCAGTTTGAAACCACAGGCTGCTCTTCAGGAAAAAGATGAGGCTTTCTACTCCTATAAGGAGTTACAGGTGTAGAAACCCACTGGGGGAATTCTACCCTGTCCTATAGAGTTGCTATGAGTTAGAATTAACTCAATGCCTGTGAGTTTGTTTTTTATTTAGAACTAATTAGCCAACATCTAAGTTCAATGGATTCTTTTGGGGGGGGCAGCAAACTGTATATATACATTTATTTTTAATACTCCACCGTGTAGATGAGCTACAGTGTGCTTGGCCACTTCCTTAGTATTAAGAGACCCAAGAGTCATTTCTGACTCACAGTGACCCGATCGATGTCCAACAGAACAAAATAGTTCTCAGTCCTGCATCATCCTCGAATGTTTGAGACCATCATTGCGGCCTCTCTGTTTATATTAGTTCTTTCTTTTTCACTTTTGATTGCAAATTTGTATGTGTTCACAGAACGTATTGTAGGTTTACATTATACAATTAATCACACATCCTGATTCAACTCATGCATTTCTCTTTTTTTGTTAAATCATTTTACTGGGCGCCTGTACAACTCTTATTACAATCCATACATACAATTATTGGGTAGAGCACATTTGTACATTTGCTGCCATCATCATTCTCAAAACATTTTCTTTCTATTTGAGCCCTTGTTATCAGCTCCTCATTTTCCCCTCCCTCCCCCATCCCTCCCTCATGAACCCTTGAAAATTAATAAATTATTTTTATTTTGTCATGTCTTACACTGACCAATGTCTCCCTTCACCCACTTTTCTGTTGTCCATCCCCCAGGGAGGGGGTTATAATTTAGATCCTTGTAATCGGTTCCC